GTCGTAGTGATAGTATTGACACTAATAAAATGATAGATACACTTATAAAACATGGCTTTAGACCAGATGGTATAGCTTATCTATTTAATTTGATTGGAGAGGTTTTAAATAGTGGGAAGGTAAAAATTCAAGAAAAAACACCAACGGACTTAAAGGGACTTGCAAACCATGTTTTATTAGGGGTTATAAATGAAAAACTTGAGGCTGAGGCCAAAAGACTTGATAAACGCATTTGTGAATTACGGAAACTTCATATAGGAATTTATATTAGCGACACTTTTAGAGAATATCATGGCATATCACAAGAACACTTGAAAGATGCTGAAGAAATGCCCTTTAAATCAAGACTGGATGAAATGTGTAATATCGCAAATATTAACCTTGCAATTATTGATATGCTCGCTGGATCAGAAGAAATTAGTCGAGCTAGAACAACTATTGAGGAAGTTCGAAATTCAATAAATTCTAATTATCAATTCGTTGGTTCTGTGGAAACACGTCTTGAAGTTTTGGAAGATTTTTTGTGGGTTATAAGTGGTGAGGAATTGCCTGATAAAAATGAATTACCTCTAATCACTTACACACTAGAACCGGTTCAAGACATGGATAACAATAAATATCTCTGCTCCATGAATGAAAAATTACAGAATGTATCCTTGGATCAAGATAAAAAGGATCTTTATATTAAAATCGCAGCCTGCCATGAGAAGTTAGCTGAAGAAGAGGGTACAATTAACCAATTACGCAGCCTATGTAATTGGCGAAAAGCTCAAAAGAATTATGAGAAAGTACGTGAAATAAATAGTGCAGACATAGTTGCTACTCTTGGTTTTGCGAGATGTTTATTAAAATTATCCAAATATAAACGAGTTATTGAACTTTTAAAAAGTCCATATTTAGATCTGTCATTAGAATACGAGTACTGGTACCTTTGCAGCATTGCTTATTCTAAGCAAAATGATTACAAAAAGGCAAATGAGTGTATTATTGAAGCACTGAAACTAAATCACCAAAACAAATTGGTGATTGAACAGAAAAAGCTCATTGAAAAGCTAAGGAAAGAAAACACAATAAAAAATCGTATTGATCATTATCAAGAAAAAAAAACCATAAAATGTGAAGCAGATTATCTAAAAAATTC